AACACATTGGTGAAACACTTTACCACCAGGCTAACCACACTTCCCTTTAGGTTTCTAGCCAACCTGCCTGTGGAGTCACAAATTCAGGAACAACTGCTAGTTGTCTCACATATATAAGGAAGACAATTTGTGGGTGTCAACTTCTAATTATGAGGAACATGTCAACAGGTGAAGAAGTATATACTCCGAAACGGTGTGTTTATCATAATAAGTTGACATCCATAAATTCTCTTCCTTATGTGTATCACTTCTAAATATAATTCAATTCCAATATACAGTTTATTTCCTGAAATTCAAGCAAAAGAATACCGGGGTAGGATTACTCCAACTTTAGCAGTGAGTCTAGGTAGATGGTCAGCAATATTACACTTCCCATGTTATCACATAACAACTTAAAATCCACTATCAGTGTCAATCCCATCACTTGCAAAAACATTTATAGGTCAGTTTTCAACTGTTAGTTCAGCATTGAAATTTATGGTTTCTTCATATTGATTCTTAATCATCACATCCATAGTAGAGAGATCAAGCCTTGACCACACAAACCACAAGCTGTATTGTCAGTAATGGGGTACGACAACAACAGCCAGCCAAGGGTTACAACTGAGAGCTGATCTTCGAAGTTGGTCACCTAGGCAAGTTTGTTGTTTAAAGCAGCACTCGGCAATATTCCAGCTGCATGACAACAGTCTGTAAATAATCGAGTCTGGACCAGACAATCCAGTGATTAACATCATGAACATCGATCCACATAATTGGGATACAATGACGTGCATCAATCAAGTCAGCGAGCCTGACCTCACAATCCCGTTAGTCGCCTCTTACAACAAGAGTTAGTCGCCTCACCTAGGCAAGTGCCATTCATACACAAAAAGGCCTTTTTTAAATCCTGCAGATATATATGAGAACAACTGCAATGACATGACCATCGCCATACCTATAGTCATAGGAAACAAATTGTGTGTTCTTAAAACAATTTAAAAAACAAAATACAAATAAGAAATCTGCCCTCTAATACTTGTAATACACCATGTTCATAATCTAATATGCGACTATACTATGGTTGGAGTGTATAGTGAGTGAGTGAGTGAGTATGGTTTTACGCCGCTTTTAGCAATATTCCAGCAATATCACGGCGGGGGACACCAGAAATGGGCTTCACACATTTGGAGTGTATAGAAAATAGGTTTACACTGTGTTTGAACGACAATGAACCATTCAGAGAGTGTGTTTGAATGACAATGGATCATTCAAAGGACACCAAATCAACTCCATGTGTCACAGCTGCTTGATCATAATGTTGGCCATGTTCAATACAAAACATAATCACATCAGACTGCCATGTAACAAGCTACAAAGTGGTCAATAACCACATGTACAACTCTACCTCAGGGCCATGCTCTGTCATACCTGAGAATCAGATGCAGAGTTGTACTTGCAGGCCATGCTCTATGTCATACCTGATAATCAGTTGTAGAGCTCCACGTGTAAGCCATGCTCTATGTCACATCTGATAATCAGATGTAGAGCTCTACCTGAAGGCAATGCTCTATGTCATACCTGATAATCAGATGTAGAGCCCTACCTGAAAGCAATGCTCTATGTCATACCTGATAATCAGATGTAGAGCTCTACCTGAAGGCAATGCTCTATGTCATACCTGATAATCAGATGTAGAACTCCATGTGTAAGCCATGCTCTATGTCACACCTGATAACCATAGGTAGAGCCCTACCTGAAGGCCATGCTCTATGTCACACCTGATAACCATAGGTAGAGCCCTACCTGAAGGCCATGCTCTATGTCACACCTGATAACCATAGGTAGAGCCCTACCTGAAGGCCATGCTCTATGTCACACCTGATAACCATAGGTAGAGATGTACCTGAAGGCCATGCACTATGTCACACCTGATAACCATAGGTAGAGCCCTACCTGTTGTGTCCCGAACCCAACCAGGGACTCAAGTCTTAAAAGAGGGAATTATTATTGACAAAATCCTTATCCAAACTCTACCCATATCTCTCTTTTTAAATAGAAAACAAATGCTGATGTCCCTGTAACTGTAATTAGATGTAACCTTACAGGGCCGTAGCTAGCACTAAGTACAATAAAACCAACAGGCTGTAAAATTCATTTTTCATTATATATTTATTGTAGATGGCAATTAGTTTACATATCATGTGATAATGTTCAATAATTGCATCTGTTTTATTTGTGATAAATCAGATGTTCAAAAACAGAAATCCTAAAATTTGGAACAACTTTTATGTATTATTATAATTAATGTGTGGTGTCCAATTATTTGGCTAGATGGAAGATATAGAAGTTAGAGGAGAGAGACAGAGAAGAGTTTCCGGCATCGGAAAGTCACGTTCTGACAGTCTTCATTCGAAACTCAGATCACAATAGTTTCATCATATGACAATGTGTGACTATGACCATGTGCATATATAGCAGAGATCATTTTCACTAATACACTGGAATCCAGCCACAAACATTGGGTTTTTTTAAAATAAAAAGATATTTTATTTCTCTTCTGAATTGTAAGTGTAGGCACATGCCTATTGTGTCTATAGGCAACTGTAGACCCCTGGAGATTTCCACCAGTGACCTGGCATCTCTACAGCTGATCATCGTGTGTGATGGTTTTACACAATTTTGGAAAGTCTACCACAAAGTGTCAGCTTCCTGTGGGAGGCATGCCTCATCATCATCACATGATCTTCATTAATATATGAACTGAATTGATCACCTTGAAGTTAAAATGTTAAGAATGTCTCAACCCATTATTATCTGTTCAGAGTTGGCACCTAGCCAGGTCAGGATCCGCCCAAATTTGCCCCGATTATGATCCTTGATCCTGTCTGAACCATGCCAATACTTATGGGTTTCCCCCAAATAAAGTCCTTGAACTACTGTGCCACAGCCATTTCTCCCCCCATCAAACACTAAGCTACTGAAATGCTGTTAAAAGCTGTATTAAGTCCAACTCACCTGCACACCTTTCATCAGATAGGATGTGCACAGTTATGAACTTGTTATCAGCCACTGGTGCGTTTCAGTTGATATTGTGTCACTAGGTATAGCCTGTGAACACTAACCTTGCATATTTACTCTTTCATAAACCCTGCTCAGGTTACCGACATACATCTTAACATTGCTGCAGTGAATGCAGCTCGGATATAGGCCACGATCAACTGTCACTGCATTTCAATTTACTTGACAGCCACACCCAAGCACCAGTCCCAAACATACTACTGTCATACTACTACGTTCCATTATATCTAACAGCATGACCTAGCTATGGAAACATAACTTAATTATTTCATTATTTCATTATTGCAAATTATAATTTATAATTATATGATTATAAATGTTGGGAGTAATGCACCACTTGTCCAATGATATCCATCATCCTTCTCAAGACGATTCCCATAAAACTGGCTAAAGTTGCATAACCTTTGGCTAATCACTGATGACGTCAACAGGTTGTACTCAGTTGAAATTGCATACGGTCATGAAATGAATCTAGACTTGTTGCTGGCTCTTAATGTGGATTGCCACCTTTCTGATATGGAGATATTGCAATCTTTCTAATGATCTGTTTTTAGCCAACAGCCATTTTGGGATTGCCCTTTTCTTTCACACCAAATATCGTTGCAGGGACAAGTTTCAGGATTGGTTGAGTTGACACTTTACAGAAAACTTGGAAATCAGATGTTATGCCTTTAAACAGAGCATCCATTTTCCCTTTCATTAATAGGAATAATTCCCATATGACTTAATAGTGAAACAATCCCATGTGGTAAAAGGTAGAAGACAATAACCTCCTGGAGCTCACGTAACAGGTTTGAACACTGTTGTGTGAATGGTGGGAGTGTTCTCTCCTGCTCAGTTTGGGACTTTGTATAAGAAGCTGCATGGAGGGCAACAACTTAAATCTGTATGACATGTTTAATACTAGTGAAGGGTATTGGCCTGAAGTTTGTATTGCAGTTTATTACAATAATGTTTCCTGTATTGCAATACGTACCACAATTTATTGCAAACTTTCTTTCATCTGTAATTTGTTATGAACCTGAATAAAAAACACTTCCCCGCATGTTTTTGACAACTTCGTATTAAGAGGGATGTTGCTATGGTCACAAAGCATTATATACAGGAAGCTGTCACAAATAGTTTCACTTTTTCGCAACAGGAAAAAGTTGCTTATTTCCATTTGATTTGTCACTAGTGTAAAATCTACCACAAAGATGATATATACATGATTATGAAAAACACAGTATACGGTATTTCCCAAACGTATTGGTATTTCATATTGTGGTATACCTATATATCGATAACATCTCACATCTCTATTTAATACAAGTAAACCATTCAAGAAATTCACACATAGGAATGGACAAGACAGCTTAATGACTCTCATTTCTGAGTCATATCTTCTCTTAAAATAAAGATAATAATTGTTCGTAGATTAGAAATAATAATGAGATGTTTACTACGTTCTTCACGAACTGAACACCTGACATATAGCTACAATAATATACTACCATGGCTTTCTGGTGATAATTAGGGTTGAAAAGATGCTTTATTGATATACTTTGCCAAGAACTTTTTATGTGATGTTGTATTTTCAGGACAGAACAGATTTTGAACAATTTCGTTTAAAATAGAAAGAACAACATCACATCAATGACATTACAAATACCCAAAACAAACCACACTACCATAAACACTGAAAGTATTTTCTTCATTAAACTCGGCCAGGTATTCTAGAGGAATAAACTGATCAGATTTTTCGGGACAAAAATTGTGACATTAAAATGTTGAGGTACCAATGTTTATTCGTTGCCTGCTGCTTGTGGTGCACGGATGATAATCAATAAGCGTGTGACAGCAAACCCTGGTCGCGATGTCCTTGAGCAGGACAACATGGACGAAGGTACACGGCAGGCCGTGTCACAAATGCGACACTGCCACAACAGATAACGTCTTACCTGATATGGTGCATTGGCTTGTGTGGGGGGCAGGGGTGGGGGGACCGACACAACCCCACAGACGCCCTAATATCCTCGTCGACTTGTACCACTGTGTCCGCTAGGTTCTCAGATGCCCACTTTTCCATTGTATGCACTGTAAAACAAGATGAAGACGGTGTTGAGGGCTGGCCAGCTTGCTAGCAAGACGAATCGCAAGCAGTATAGAGGGCAGCCATATCGACCTGGTTGGCAGCGGGTCCTACCCTCACATATCTCCTACATTCCCGCATACATACGTTAATATACCACATTCCCTTTTCACTTACCCCTGTGGCCCTATACCACTTGTAGGCAGTCATTCTGTAGCGCTGAGTTCACAGACCAGATGATAGCTTAGGCCACATGCAAGTTAGCAGTGCAAGTCAAATGTACACATGGGACCAGTCCACTTCACCTAAGAGGGGCGTCAGGTCAGGTGCACAACAATGCAGCGTTAATGAGATAGGGGCAATTGGGCGTAAATGATGAGGCGAGTGACAGTCTATTACACCCCTGCAGGGACAGAACAAACACCGAGGCAGAAAACAATGCAGGGTAGAGGTATGCCCGGCAAATGTTATACACTGCTGGCTTCAAGGAATGTGTGTTAATGGGTCAGATGGAGTGTGTGGCTATCCGGATCGACTTGTAGTACGCAGTAAATGCAGCGAAGCACACTAGTACCAGCCTTTAGCCTATCTGCTATCCAATCCTTGTGTGTCAGGCAATGGAAATCACCGTTAGGCCCTTTGCTTTCAATGCTATGCACGTATCGAACAAATTGACGTTTCTATATGGCTTCTCGTGAATGGCGCAGAGTGCATTCTGTGCAGAGGCGCAATGCTATGTATACAATGTCAAGTGGTTTTACGTGTTTGCTTTCAGCGGTGAACTGGACTGTTAAAACACTTTGTATTCCGATTTGTAGATATATTTTAAGCATCAGCTACCGTCCGGTCTTTGCTGCTTCTGTGATTTTTTTCAGTTGATACTAGTATCGATGTGTTTGAGAGCGAGCGTTCGATGTTGTCGATCACATTATTATATCTATATGGATTTATAATATGAAAGTATTTGTATATCGGTGTTGACGATACTGATAAAGTATGACGGAGTCGGAACATGATCGACTCTCAGGTACTAAAGGTCGATAGGCATATGCAAGTCATGTAGACAGATAAGAGGTTTGTCCAGAACACATGGACATGTATGCTTGAACGGGCCGGCTTATTACCTGAAACACATTACAAAAACTCACGACTTTCGGAGCGACTACAAGTGTGAAAACACTGATATTTTTCATATTCAGGGGCGGTCGGGTAGCCCTATAGTGGTTAAAGCGTTCGCTCGTCACGCCGAATACCCGGGTTCGATTCCCGACACGGGTACAATGTGTGAAGCCCATTTCTGGTGTCCCCCGCCGTGATGTTGCTGGAATATTGCTAAAAGCGGTGTAAAACCTCACTCACCCACCCACTCTTCATATTCTTAATCGACAATTTACGCCAAATAAATACCATTTTCTCAACGAAATCTTTGAACAGAATATACGTAAAGATGACAAGAAAATAAAAATGATCATAATTACGGGTGGAATATTTCATGATATTCAATGATATCCCATGATGCGCAACAATATGTGAATGCATTTGCGATAGGGAATTATATTTCTGATTGAACACGTATATATTAAAAGCTTTACCAGTGTAAATAACTAGTTTGATAGAACTGTTATCTTTACCTTTGAATCCAAGTAATATTCTTGTGTTGGTAATATTTAATCTAATGTTGACAGCTTTCAATAGCGATGATTCTATATCATTGCAAGTCGAAATGATACTATAAAAGTACGGGAGCAGAAACTCGAGTACGAAAAGGTCGATAAGCATATGTGCAAATCATGCAGTCAGATAAGACTTAATGTTTTCATTGAGGAATTTCACAACTCGATACACGGACGCCATTTATACGCCATCCATTCAACTATGTAGGGTGTAAAACATGACGAAATATGCAGTTTCGTGATGTGCATAACTAATGCATATAACTCGACCAGTTTATAGCCTAACCTACATCACATTTTCATTTTCAAAAATAATTATAAGGAAATTCAGAATTGATTTTAAACGGGTGTTTCTCAACTTTGAAATTATATGTAAAGATAGGAAGCGTATCAGTGCCACATTCTAAGCAAAATATCATGTACGAAGATGATACTAACATTATACTTGTCGCATCTACATGTATGATATTCTAATCTACCTAGAAGAAAGTATCATCTACTAGAGCAAACTATCACTGTAACGATATTCACGATTATGATACATACACAGAAGAAGTATTTCTTCTAAGTAGAAGTGAGTTGTATCATCTATTCGTAGATGAAATTTAAGTATCATCTATAGTATATCGGTGATATTGGTATTTTAAATACGCTTCCATGGTACAGTTTTTTGTGTTTAAAATGTTTTATTTTTATTGTTCCCAGAGTTGGAGATTAATACAGTATTCCGTCAAAAACATATTTCGGATAGCATAGAATGGCACAATACACTCATTTAAAAATTAAAGGGTTGGAAACAAACATTGTCCTATTTCAAATTCCATGGTACAGTTACTTATGTATATATGGAAATGTATTTCAGTTATGTATGTCCTCTTGCAGTGGCATACTGAACAGAAGATTATCATATATTTGCAAATCATAAACCATTGCCAAATCAAACAAGAGATTATCCTGTTACGAGTGAACGCACTTACCACGGACCCATACCGCACCCATGCAGGACAAGCCAAGAGTGAGCTTGCAAAATAACAGGAAATTGTATACACTCGTTCAGAAGCAGGTGGATGGAATTTGACCGCAGGGGTTTGTTCGAGGAGTTGATGGGGTATGGCAGAAGACGTGAGGGTGGGGAGAAAAAATGGGGGAAGGGTTTTAGAAAGGATGTAGGTCTTTGAAGAGCTTAAGGATGCAGGTAGAGAGGTACCTAATTAAAAGTGGAGACTCTTTACCGTATATACCCCGACTACGCCTAAAGCTGCCTATTGTAACACTGACATGGCATACCCCTGTCCTTCGTGAGAACCACCCTCGTTACCCGTCCCCTGCAGCGTCCAGCGTTGAGAACTGCGGTAATATTATACGTTGTTTTCATTATTCCCTCCCAAAATTGAATGTAGTGGACAGGAGTACCGCGTGAAGCGATCCTCTTTTACATTTATTTTTTATAGCATTATTTCAAATAAGATAAAAATGAAATTAAACTGTTGTGAATTAATTAACACTATTGATATATTCCGATGAATTTTATTTCGCTGTGGTGATGCACTTTACATTTGTCAGTCAGCTAGATATTGTACACGTGCGCTACATATTTCGTACAGGGAGTTAAACAGTGCCGTAGCCAGCCGGGGGACCAGGGTGGGCAGTTGCCGCCCCCCCCCCCCCCCCCCCCCCCGGATTTTTATATAGATAACAGTTTTATTTGAATCAAGTTGGGGACACGTGATACTTGTACAAATATTTGCCGCCCCCCTCCCCTTGTCGAAAAAAGTTAACTACGGCCTCGTTAAATGAGATTCTATGTTGTAGATACAGAAGATCTGCCCATGTCACGGTATACATGTACAAAGGTCAATCCCGATTTTAAAATATATGCGCTTATATATGCGGCCTATGTGATATATACTAATTTTGCCAGGTTAGGAGTTTTATTTTGTCATGATTTGACCAGTTCATAAAAGTCTTACAGAACACTATCTCCCTATAAAGTATATCACACACTGTTCCTACACTCCTTTGTAAATGTTATGTTTCTACTAAGTCTATTTTTTTTAAAACTATAACTATTTGTCCTCAAAGCCCTACATGTTTGGCAACTCCTGCCTAAACAGGATACCCGAATGTATAATAAACTCCCGGCCAGAAGAAAGTATGTATACACTTGAAAATTTACACTCCACTCTATAGCTCTGCACATTGCCGCATGTGTAATGAAATTGCGAGCCCCATGATCCTTAATACGTCATGTGCACGTCGCCTGTTGTGAGTGAGTGAGTTGGGTTTAACGCCGCTTTTAACAGTATTCCACTTATATCACCTTGTCACCTTAATGTGGGAGGAAAGCCCGGTGATGCAGGTCTCAGACGTTTACCACCTCGGTGAAACCCACGAGCACGGGTATGGTACTGACAAACCTGGAAACATAATCGGGGCGAACCGGGATTCGAACCCACAATCATAGGTTTCCTCACACAGGAATCGCGGCGCCATAGACGACTGGGCAACCCGTCTCTCCCCCCCCCCCCCACACACACACACACCCCAACCCCCTCCTCGCCTGTTGTGAGATACTCATTGATATGATGCATGTAATATCGCCAACGATATCCGTATGAAATACATCACCACCGAGTAACCGTTTCTTGTTTGCTCTATTTTAATCACCAAAAAACAACAACGCGGTTTTCTCAGTGAAAGCGACCAGTGTGTAATAACTAATAAAATCCTATGCAATAATACATGTTCCCCTCTGATATCTTATTACTGTTATACAATATTGATCATATATAAGGCCAGTGGCCTCACGCACAGAAATATGGAATTGATTTAAGAGTGTCTCTGCGCTGTTATTTTGTCCAGCTTGCAAACCCGAAAATCAATGTGCTAAACAGACGCTACTGGATTATGTATCATGTATGTTTATATTACGTCGGTAACTTCCAAACGTGTCTACAAATACCACCGGAACATGTATATATAATGACTACAGGTGCATTATGCATATAATACTGCACGACCCCGGTGGGCATTCCGTGGAAGTTTAGTCCCAAGCAACCTGTTCTTGGCGTAAAGTGGATCGGGTGGTTAGGCTCATGACGTGGTGGTTGATTGCTTGTCATCATTCCTCGACGTTGCTCATAGTATCAATCACCGAATTATCTGATCACCACTCTGTGATATAACTGGATGCTGTTACCCGCGTTACAACAAACTCACTCACTCACTCTTTCAGCAATATGTCAGTACAAACAACACACATCATCAACACACGTCATGCACACCAAGGACTAGGAATCGGCTTGCGGAGCAAACGCCTCAACCACAAGTAGTACCACCACAATACAAAATTGTAGGGGAAAGATGCAAATATTCTTTGCTGAATTTAGTGAAAATGACTTCTTTTATTTATTTAAACGACGTTTACATCATTCAATATTCAGTGAGTGAGTTCGGGTAACGCTGGTTTAAATTATTGTTTCAGCAGTTAATCAGAATGAGTCAGCATTAATCAGAATTAGTGTCAGCCTAAAGTTGCCAATATTCAGACTAGGAGGGGACACACACGCACACGCATACGCACGCACGCACGCACACACACACACACACACACACACACATACTCACACACATACTCACACACCACTATATCAAATGGTCGGTCCATTAGACTAGCATAACATCAAACAATCTGTAACGTGGACCAGCGACTTTGAACCCTTACAACTGACTTCACTTAAGCGCAGACTATTACCCTATTATTACGCTGACTCAAAGCGATATGCACTGTATTTGAACAGGTGCATTGCGCATTATGTCTTTCAAAAGCACCTGTGTACACGGATAGTTCGATAACAATATGAGTCAGATATAGTTCATCTGGGGTCATAGGTACACAGTTCGTGCACACCCTACTGTCACGCATTATTATTCCAATGAAAGCTTTAAGGTATTGCATTTTTATCAGAAGGAAACCCATCCTCAATCATCCAGGGAAT